AAGTTAGTTAATATTTCATACTAAATATTCCCACAAACAAACAAATAAATAAATGAAATGGTGTATACTTTTTTTTTACACAATTTTTCATTACCTTTATTCGTCCTATGCATCCTTCCTCTAGGTATTATTCTTCTCGTATTCTCTTCAGAATCACCATGTTTCCTTGCGAGTGATTTCGAACTCCTTTAAGAATCCCTTGTAACAGAAACTGACGTGTTGTTCGTAGGAAGTACTACTGCGTGGCTACCTTAAACTCCGAAATAACTATCCGCCAACCCTTGTAAGATTCATCGTCAGCATAAAGAATATTTTCATCCGGAAGGTGATGATTATCGTTCTTTGTGAACTTGACAATGACGATTTTTCCTTTGTCATTTTCTGCCTTCCAAGTCAAGTTCGTCGATTCTTCGGTAAATTTGTAAAGGTATGTAAACTTGACTTCGTTCTCATCAACTTGATAATGATTACGGTACGGAAAAAATCTTTGTATTTTTTCAGCCTCGGCCTTCATCAAAGCTTAAGTTTTTGTAATAGTTGTCCAAGGTTCGAAAGGCAAGACGTAAAGATTCGAAAAAAACCGCAAGCTCCTCCACCCTTTTTCCATCATCTTCAGGACGATTCATCATGAGAATAAAATCAGTAAGTGGTTCGACTACGGGTTTCTCAAGATACACAGCTCCGAGAACGCAAATCCAAGGCCCCGCAATAGCAAGAATAATAGATGGGCAACAAGAATTATTGCGAATCTTAACGGTCTGTTCGTGAAAAATTAGACATGAATAAATGCATGACTTTATCAATGTGTTTCAAAGAAAACGCACCTGTAATTGAGCCCAATATTTTGCATGACCACACCCCCCTTGGATTGAAGGATCTTTTCCTCCCGTACCTATCTCGTTTTTATATTCCCATAAAATTGAGACAGCTTTCTCTCCGAAAACTTTATTATCAGTAAGTAGCACATCATCATCGATGGAACCATTATCAGTAGCAATAGATACTGGTTGGATCCCATCAAATAATGATGTAAAGAACGGTCGGAGCGCATTTTGTCGGCCACCTTCATTTTGATATATTTGTCCCACTATATTGCAGAATTCTAGAACCTGCGTATATCGCTTGGCCGGAACATTTAATACATAGTTGCGATAATCGACGAGAAACTGACCGAAAACAGGGTGGAAAAGAGATACCGGTGGTCCACTGCATTCCGGAGGTCGTAGATTAAATATTTTCAGTGGGTTCTGATTACATTTTTCCCATTTCCTTGGGCACGCGGAGGTTGACGGGCAGGGCATCTTACATATCTCTTGAATGTTTTCGTCTTTCTCTGTAGTATGTGCAAATAATAATTTATATAAAAGATACAACCGCCGGAAATGGACATTTCATATAAACTAACCATGAAGTAACTTTTGGCGCTTGAAGACAACATCATTAGACTCCAACTTCGACGGAACATAATCTTCTATATTAATTTTATAAAAAGTTATACTTGATCTCGTTCATTGCATTGTTTATTATATAACTAATTGTATTACAATACTTACCAGTGGCAGCAGGTATTTTAACAATAAATTGGACATTAGACTCAGGAATTTCATCAATGACATTGTAAATTTTTATTGCAGGAATTAGCAATTTCCGCTTAACTTCGATGTTATCAAGTGTTATAGCATTTTCCTCAGCTTCATCAAATGGAATGTTAACTTTCCATATCTCGAGATTTTTTGCTTTTACATTGTCAGGGGCATTAATATTTTTTCTAATGGCATCTTTAAGATGTCCAATGGTCCTGCTATCTAAAATGTCGACAGGAAAAGCATCTGCAAGAGGATCTCCATTGACGAGACACCAAATCGTTCTGACTGATGATGATAAAGATTAATAAGAACGCTGATACTGTCACACTATAAAAAAATCATTTTATCACAAAATCTTACGCTCTTCTATTGAACTGCTTGAATTATCTCTGTTTCTTGTGGGAACTGATTCTTGTTCATACACTTTTTTTTTTCCTTTATTAGTGGGTTTTCTCTTCCTATTATATTGTCTCTTTGCTGGAGCAGAATATGTGACCTCGTCAGCTGGAACCAATGCTAATACTTGATCCGAAGGATCCGATTGTGTTTGTTTGTCCGCATTATTGGCCTTCCGTTTTCTTTTGAGCTCTAATTGTTATTAAGGCAAAAGTAAACATATATATTTATTAACAGATACAGGTAAAATATGTCTTACCAGTGGGCGCGAGTGCTTGATTTTCTTTATCGCGGTCTGTAATTTCTCTAACTACATCCTCCCAGTACGTCGTTCCGAGCGTTCTGATTTAACCTGTTATGGAGATAGTAATGTGTTAGCAGTGCAACCTTTTTATTTAGTAATAAGGGAAGGTACATAGTTGATTCCTCCTCCAGAACCAACAGACCCTTATTAAAAACAAAGTTAGGGCGCCTGAACTGAAGACTTGGAGTGGATACCAAGCAAACAAGCCAGTAATTCTCCTGAGTAACCCCCCAGCAATTCTTCTGAGAGCCAACTAAGAGTTACCTTTCCTTTGCAAAATAAAAAAACGCACCTTTGTTTCCAAAGCCAAAAAAGAATTTTTATCTAGCTTTTTTGCTTCTTCCAAAAATTGACTGGCCCAGGAATCGTCAAGGTCATGCCAGTTGTTCGAGACAATTACTTCTTCACGACAAAATTCTAAAAAACCTCGATATGATTGCTTTAAATATCTCTTTAGATAAGAGACAACGACTAAGGAAAAAAAGAGATTAAAAATAATTTTTTATATCATGCTAAATTGCTATTTGCAAGATTTACCAGAACGGACAGGATGTTTTTCGGAAGTGCTCATTGTCATGTAACTTGCAGGAATCAACAAAAAGAAAATAGGATCCTATATGCAAATATTGCTCGTAGACAGTATGACTCGACTGATATATTAACGCGAGAAATTAAGAACATGAAACAAAATGACTCCAATAACACGGAAAATAAGCTACAGTATACAGTCAAAGCTCATTATAGTAAACTCTCAGTTTCATTCAATTTGTTCACTATAACGAAGTGTTCACAATAGCGAATAATCTCTTTATAGTGAATTTTATATAATAAAAAAAAAAATTTCTTATAACACGATTTTTTTAAAATTTTTTTATTAACATTGCACAAAATTATCTAATGTAGATTGCTTCGCATTGGCTTGAATACATCTATTAATTGTTGATTTTAAAGCACAAAGAATTTTTAACTCTGTATAATTAATTGATATATTATCAGGAGGATTTTTAAAATATCAAATTACCTTTTTCAAACTATTTAAAGCTTCTTTGTTAGTAATAATATTAATTTCTGCTGGTTCTTCCTCCTCTTCTATATCATTTTTTTAGGATTTGAAATTACCGCATCTATTATTTCTTTATCTGATAATGATCCTATTGGTATTTCATCATCAATATGAATAAATTTTTCAGCTGTAATAGGATCTTGTAAATTTAGTGCATCAATCATATTTTGCAATTCTGAAGTAATTTTATCAATTTTTTGATCTCAGTCCAAATTGTTTTCTTCAGAGTTGCTACCTTCAGAGTCATATTCTTCATAATCAGGTAAAATACCTGTTTTTTTCTAACATCGTTCAATCGTACTTAGTTTTATAATTTTCTAAGCTTCATTAACAAATGTTATAGCATTAAGAATATCAACTAGTGTTATATCAGAGTCATTTTTCTGGGTTAAATTATATGCTTCTACTCAGTTCATAACTAATAATTTTCTGTATTTGACCTAAAATAATAAATATATAATAAGTAAAATTATTTTAAAAATAATAATTTAATAACAATTTATACTTATTTTAAAATTATTAATAATACTGGCATCTAAGGGTTGTAGATGAGTAGTTGTATTCAGAGAAAGGAAATGCACTTTAATATTTGACAATAAAATAGTTTTATCCATTAAATGAGTAAGCACATTATCAGCTAATAACAATATCTTATGATTTTGTTGTCTCATTAATTGTTAAGTTTATTTAGGTAATCACATCACACTGATACTTGCATCCAAGCTGTACAGTTCTAGTAATATCAGACAGGCAGATCATCCTTTTTGATTCCTTTTAAAATACGTAGAGCTTGCCACTTATGTATCACTAAAGCAGGTAATCTGTGATTTCCATCAGCATTACAGGTTAAAATAACTGTGATACAATTCTTTGATTTTTTAGTACCAGAAATATAATGATCTGAAAGTGTCTTAGATGGTTCTAAATTCTAGAATAAAACTAATATATATATAAATAAAATTGTAAATTTTTTGTAAAAAAAAAAAAATAAAATTGTATTTATTTTAATGTATTTACCTGTTTCATCAATATTATAAACATCACAAAGATCATATTATTCTATAACTTCTTGCAAAATCTTATGTTCTTCTTCTAATATTTCTAATGGCGCACTATTTACTTTTCTAGCTTTATTGATTTGTCTTATATTATACCATTTTTTAAATTTTGCTAGCCATCCATTTGAAGCAATAAAAGATGTTATTTGTAGTCTAGCTGCAAGATTCAAAGCTTTAGCTTTTAAAACATCCCTTGTAATAGTTAAGTTCAAAATCAATACTTGCTGCATTCACAAATATAATGCAGATTCAATTTCTGGAAATTTAGTACCTCTATCCCGTTTTTGATTTTTAACTTCCTTATTTGAAATATCAATAGATAGCCATTTTTCCTTTTTTTTTAATATATTACAAACTTGTAACTTTGATATATCAAATTTTTTAGCAAAATCTTCTTGGTTGTATGACAGATTATTTTTTTGCCACTTACATAACCCTTTTTTCTCTGTATATGATAAGCTTTTTCTTTTTCTAGTTCTATTTACTTTTTCTTTGTCTCTTTTAATAGGTGGCATTTTGAGAAAAAAAACTGTGTTACCATAAATGAAACTATAAAAAATGTGTTATAATAGATAAAAAAATATATTACAATATATGATCTACAAATACTATGTATATCACGTGATATTTATTATAGTGTATATAAATTTATAATATATGTTCTGTATTTAAATTTTTAATATATTTACTATATCTAATATCGAGATTTTATTATTAAATTCACTATAACAAATAGAATTTTATATAAAATAAATTAGGGGAATAAAAAAAGTTCATTATAAGTTAAATTCACTATAACGAGATTCACTATAATGAGCTTTGACTGTATACGCATAAAATCTGAATGTATAACCTTATTGTGACACAAATATTTTATCCTGCATATGTGTGACAGTGTGACACACTAAGCGAAATAGTGTTCGTAATCTGAACTAGAGACAGTTTTTGGTGGAGGCAATTTCCTGCTCAGAGAAAAGTTTCAAATTTCGAAGAGTACACGTTAGCCTAGGTCGCACAAATATCGATAGATTTTGCAATAATTTAAATGTAGAGTTACATGTATTATAAGGTTATTGATTATAGGAGAATCGAAACTTTTGGATACTTGATCAATGAAACTCCTTAATCTTTTGTATTCTTCTTGGAATAACAATTTCCAGTTTTTCATCATATCATACTTCAAGAAAGGAAATTCCATTATCTTGATATATGCATCATTTTTACTGATTACGATTAACGATATCCTTGAGTTTTTTAATATCTTTATACCAGCTGGTGCTATGAAGCCGATGCTGAGCTCCTTGCATCTCTAATGCGATTCGATATTTTTGAAAGAAGGTATCAAGCTCTAATCTATTCAGAAAAGTGAGGCGATACTCAACTATGGACTCTTCTTCAAGCAATATTTGAGCAATTAGAATACACTTCTCCTGAAACTTACGATTTTTCTTTGGCTCTAATTCTTTTTTAAGTTCCACTATAT